AAAAAACTTTTGGAACCTCTTCTGTAGGTGTGGCCTGCTTTCCGGGTCCACTGGTGGAACCTCTTCTAACCGGTTCAGAAAATCACCATCCAAATGAATGTATATTGTACAACTAATATGACGAAAATGCAATAACAGATGTCAGGATCTAAACACAATAGCATTTATATCAATAATAGTGCACCAGATAAATCCTTATCCTTTATTCGTTTTTTTTGTTCCTATTGTGGGCAGCCTGGAAGAATGAAATATTTTGAGAAATATTAAAAAAGGCAGAATATTATATTTCCCGAAATGAGAAATGGAGAAACATGTTTTTTGGGGGGGCAGGAAGCAGACTCCATCTTTCTTAATAGCCCCCAAGCAGAAACTGAGGAGGCCACCTTTTAGAAATGCAGATTTGGTAATCCATTGAAGACAGGGTATTTCGAAACAAAAGGCAGAATGGTAGGGTTAGAAGAGCCCAGAGCAGTCCAACTTCAACCAAACCTGGGAGCTCAGACAGACACCTACGCTTTGCATTTCCCCTTTTGCATATAGAGCCAGCTATGACCCTTACATAACCCTTACATCGGTGGTGGGTTTCAAAAAATTTCACTACTGGTTCGGTGGGCATGGCTAGGTGGGGGTGTGTGTCATGTGACTGAGGGGGCATGGCTAACTTCACATCACTCACACCCACGCCAGTGCCCTCTCAGTCGCATGACCCTCCCCACCAAGCCACACCCACAGGAAAAGGTAAGAATTTTTTTGGGATCTCTACCTATCTACCCCTGCCTTCCTGGTGCCAGTCGCCCCTGTTTCCTCTCCTTTAGCGGCTCCAGCTCTAGCCCCGATTCCTCCCCCAGAACTGCCTCTTTATTTGGGCTGCTTACCTTCTGCAGCAGCTGGTCCAGATTCCAGAAGGCAAGCTGACCAGAGTTTTTGGCGGCCCCCAGCCAGCCACTACTGCTGGGAAGCAGCTGACTGGCAAAGGAGTCTCGCAGCCGCCTCCTCTTTGAGAGCTGCTTTGCAAAGTGGCAGGGTGAGCAAGTGGCGACTGGATGGGCAGGGTGAGCAAGCAGTGACAGGGAGACCGGGTCAGGGGCATGGCCAGCCGGTGAAACTACCGATTCACCGAACTCGGCTAAATTTCCGTCACCGGTTCAAACAAACTGGTGTGAACCGGCTGAATACCACTTCTGCCTTACCTGGCCTCATAGGAATTTGACAAGAGCTAACAGAAGACATGTTCTTGCACAGGAACAGATAGTTCAAATACAAAACTCAAAGAAGGTTTAAAAAGCCCTCACTCTCAACTCCATTTGCCCACAACAACAAACCCATGTGGTTCTTCTTCATCAATAAACCATCTTCCCAATCAGCCTCCATGTTTCCAGTGTATTTCTCCCAGCTTGGATATTTCTTTTCATACTATATTCCAATTTCTTGTCCAAGGTGGTTCCGCTGAATGTGTAGAAATAAAATTCTCTGAGAAGCAGATGCTTCTCTAAATATGTAGACGTTTCTATTTTAATGTAAAGAGCCCCATTAAAGATAATTGCAATGAAAACTTATTTTAAGACGAAACCCAAACTGTAAATTAGTTTTCTAAATCTTGTCAAAGTGAAGTACGTAGATTAATATTATAGACGGTGGTTTATAATTAAATATATAATTAAACCTATGAAATATGGCACATGTTAAAAAGGCGGGGCTGAATCCAATACATCTAGCATTCGTTAAATAAAAGTTGCAAGCTCATTTTTAATCTTCATTAACAAGAAGACACAGCAAAACTTATCTTCAAATCACTTTTATATAGCAGCAGAGAAATATTATTGTTTGATATCTAAAAGGAGAACAATGGAACAATTTAAAGGACTTTTGAAGTAAGTTTTTGTTTGCTTATTGACAAGGTTACACTGATAATATCTAATCTAAAATGTCTTAAAATTCAGAATATTTAGATTATCTACTTTCTGACATGTTCTGCTGAAGAAAGTTGACTGAGATGATTTTATTCAAATCTCATTCTAGCTCTTAAAAAATAGCAATCTCCTTTCGCTACCCACTTTTCTCATTTAAATTTTTGTTCTTTTCATTATATTCAACAGAGAAAATTGGTCATATTTGAATCAATGTTTTCTAAATATTGAATATGACAGGTTTGATGATGAAAAAGCCTGAGAAATTTTGAGGAATTTTAACTATTGTTTTGAAGAGGTGTCTTCCCCCGCCTTCTCTTGCCCTTCTCTCTCCTGTTATCCTAGAAAAAATAATGGGAAAAGAGATAAAGATTTGCAGAATTCTTTCATCTTTAAAATGCTTGAAGGCTATTATTTCAGCTTCTTGATGAGTAAATATTTTTTCACGCTAATATATATCAGAACATTTATCGTATTACAAATTGTTTTTGGAAAGGCTATACATTGCCAAGCAACAGAGTATGAGAGGTTTTTAATTTGGGGGGGGGGTGTATGCTTGGTTTCACTGAATATCTACAGGTTTTGGCTCCTGGCTATACTGCAATTGTACACCTGCCAAAGAGCTTCTAATAAAATGATTTTTATTAGATTCCATAGGATATGTTGACTCTTTTACCTTTAAATACATTAGAGTTCATCCAAAATGCTCCCCCCTTTATTGTTGCAACAGTGCTTACAATAGAATACAACTCTTTGAACCCAGGTATGCATTTTCCAAATTGAACTGAATCTCTTCCCTAAATTTTTTAATTGTATTCAGGTGCTCCAGGATATGGCTATGGCTGCTTATGATTCACTTCAATGAAAATGTGAGGTCAGAAGAAGTAGAAATCATCGGGAAAATGAATCCTGAATCCACCATGAATATTGTGAGTGGAACTCTCAGAAAATATTTTTACCAATTGTGTTCAATGGGACTTTCTCCCAAGTATGTTTATATACAATCACTTTTCTTTGTTTATATACAAAGGCCTTTTCTATGCAGATAGCAAGAAGATCCACTAGATGTCAGACATTGATTTCCCTTTCCTCTTCTCTAGGGGTTGTCTGAATGTTTCTCTCCCCTCCCCCTAGTAAAGCAGCCTTCGATTTTACAGGTCAGTCACGAAATAAGATACTGTGTTGGGGAATGCTCCTACTTTGGGACTCAGAGGTAGACATTTCTCTAATAGTGCATTCTGATTTTCACCCAGTCCCCAACAGTCAGATAGCATTTTTTGGCGCATGAATGGGATCGGAAATGACAATGTTGATTTATTTTCCCCTTAGTATTTTTTACCCACTAAAGCCCGAATGTACTTCTGAAAGCCTTTGGTATTATGCTGATACCAATTTCTTGTATGTGACTAATGCTGCTTTGACTATGTGACAATAAATCTTTGGAAGTTAAAACCCACCCCTCTCCTAGAGAAATGAAATATTTTAAGAAATATTAAAAAAGGTAAATTATTTCCCCTAAAAAGAGAAGTAGAAACTCAAGAGAGGCAGAAGCTCAGCCGCCCCCACCTTTGTGAATGAGTCATTAAGGCCTGAGCCGGTCTATTCTACATAACAAAGATCTTCCCCCTTCAGCTCCAGGGTGAAGGGATTAAGGCATGGGCCTCAGGACATAATAATATAAGCTCGTGATGGCGAACCTGTGGCACGCGAAGCCATTTGTCAGGGCACGCGAGGTGATGCCCTGTCAGCTGGCCATCGCGCATGCCTTCTTTTGAGGCTGTTTTTTGCGCTTCTGAAGCTTCCGGGAACAGACTTCCAGTTTGCTCGTAGGGCTGGTGTTTGAAGGCTTTGGGGGTTGAAAATCGGCCCTACAGGGAACCCGGAAGTTCAGGAATGGTGACTTCTGGTTTGTCGGTAGGTCCATTTTTCAGTCTCCAGAGCCTTCGGGGAAACCTCCTGAAGGTTCCGGAGGTCGAAAATCGGCCCTATGGACAAACCGGAAGTCACCATTCCCGAACTTCTGGGTTCCCTGGAGGTCCGTTTTTTGCCCTCCAGAGGCTTCAGGGAAACTCCTTAGGTCTCCGGAGGGCATCCGAGGGGTCAGGGAGGATATTTTCTCCCTTCCCCAGACTCCTAGAAAGCCTCTGAAGCCTGGGTAAGACGAAAAAAATGCGGCAAAAGTGGGGGAGGGGGCACAGAATTATGGGTGTGGCATGCCGATGCATGACCACCCTGTGCTCCCCCCTGCTTTTGGCACGGGAGCCGAAAAAGGTTTACCATCACTGGTATAAGCCCTATCTCACCACATGGCACCTGGGAAGATTACATCATCCCCCAGCAAGTCAAACAAACTTGGGATACAGCCAGAGGTGGGTTCCTACCAGTTCGCACCTATTCGGTAGAACCGGTTCGTCAAATCTACCGAACCGGTTAGAAGAGGTTCCACCAGTNGCCACTCCCACCAGGTCACATGGCCAGCAAGCCACTCCCACAAAGGAGGCCACACCCACAGAGTAGGTTTGAAAAATTTTTGAAACCCACCACTGCAACTGACTCACTTTTATGGCTATTTGTAGCTATTTCCGGTGGTCCCATGACCACAATTTCTAACTTTTTTTTTTGCCAGTTTCCAGCTTTCACTTTCAGCAAAAAAATGCCCATTGGGGAAAATGGATTTCCTTAACAACCACATGTTCACTTAATGACCATCATAATAACTATCATAGCATAGAATCTGGCCCTAGGATGTCTTGAGTTGGGACTGTAATTCTGGGCTTGATTACAGTCAAGGACTCCTAGAAATATAATCTGGATGTAACTGGTGAAATTCAGTGGTTTGGGAGCTGAGCAATATAAACAAGTGGTTCCCCACCTTTTGACTAGATGGATCGGCAGCAATAGGGGAGGGGAAATGTTTGTGCACTCAATCTAATCCCGTCCATGTACAAATAAAGCCTTTCACGCTTGTCTGCTATTTTCGTGGCCCAGTTCCCAATGAATCATAGATTGGTAGAGGGCCGGAGACCAGGGTTTGAGGACCCCAGATGTAAAGGGTCTATCGCCATACCAGCTGTTAAATGAATCTGAAAGCAACATGATCAAAGGCTGTTTTATTTCAGTTTTGATTACAAGAAAGACTGCAGCAAAAGAAGAATTATATAAAGGTAGATATTGGAGTAACATAGAATCAAACTGCTTGTTTAAATGATGATCACAAAATTATATACGTGTGCTCATTCTAGCACTGTGTACACTTGCTAGGATAAGGCAAGCAGAGGCACCTACAACTAGCCATGATGTCACTCAAATGAAAAAAAAACATGATGTCACAATGGAAGCTGAGCTGATTGTACTTGTATCATCCCATGGAAATGTACTCTGGAGTCTGGACAGATACATATTCACATCTGTGCTGCAATACATTTGATTCATGCTTAACAACAAGTCCTCCACCGCCCACATTCCTATATAAACAAAGCACTTTTGCAGGATTCATCCACCAGCCAGAGCACTTGTATTAAAACGTTATTTCCTTCAATTGATTAAAAATGATTCTGGAAAGAAATAACTAAAATCCAGGATTAGGGAGCGTTACAAAGGAACTATCTCTACCCTAATCACAGGGGAGATCGTAAGTGTGATAGTGAAAGCTCAGTACAACACGGTTTAAACAAATCTGATGAGGAATTGAGGGTCAAAGCCATTGTACCAACATCTGCTGGATGCACCCATTATGGAGAACTAACTCTACCAAGGAGTCGGATATTATTTGTAGATCGGTCAATGATATAAAACTCGAAGGGATGGTCAGCTTTGAATTCAATTGGCGAACGTGCACTCAGAAATGCTATATTTACACCAGTGGCCGCAGCGGCCTCCGTGCCTTCTTCATCGACTTCTATGAATGATTTGTGAACAACTTCAGAGATGACTAAATCATTGTTAGTTGACATTGCAGAGAAGTCTGCCTTGCCCACATCAAACGCATCCGTCATTCCCATGCTTTTCAGAACAGGCTTCAGGTCGTATTTCGCTCCCAATTTAAATTTGGGAAGGGAGAGGTCAATTTCTGTCCGCTTCATCTTCTTAATCCAGTCCATGAGTTTCTCATGTGTCATTTCTCTCTCCAACTAAAATAAGATGAAAAGCGTTAAAGGAGAAAGGAATTCCTGGTAGCAATAGCAATAGCAATAGCAGTTAGA